ACTACTTGAATTATGAGTTAGGTTCAAAATTAAAGTTGATTTGAATTTTACCCACTTTGCTCTTTATAAAATGTCTTTTCACTGTCTTTATAAAAGCTACTTTAGAGAAGTTTTGAAGAATATTTTGCTGTTACCTTCAGTAAGTTCTTAAAAAACTTATTCCAAAACCACTGTCTGTTGCAGACAGTGTAAGTGTACACATGAAAACAAAAACATTAGGAGCTAAGCCATTGTCTGAAAAGACAGATATCCATTAAATAAATTGAAAACAGTTTTAATTTAAAGATGCAAAATATATGCAGGAAATTAAGAAAGGTTATTAATTAGTAGGGATATAACTATAATTTGTCATTCTTTTATGATTTTACATAAATATCTAACAAATGAAAGGATACAATAAAGAGAGTGATAGCATAAGGAGGAAATGATATCATCTTCTTCTTATAATAACAATGGTAAGGTTTTTAATAGGTTTAAAAGAACAGTGCCCTACAGTTACTACTCAAAATAGGCAGCGTTCATTTGATGCTGCTTGACTGCCCTCTTCAGGATGCCAATGAATGTATTAGTGTATTTCAGTATGAAATACTTAGCTCTAGCAATTACCAAATAAGTGTATATGGTCAATTTTTTTCTACTTTCAAATCTGGTTTACCAGATGAGACTTTTTTAAAGTTAGTTGATAAGGGTAAAAGTTAGGTTTTCATTTTACTGGATGTGAGATGGACTTAAAGTGATGATCAAGCATCCATTTTTATTTTTATTTTATTTTTTTATCATTTTCTCTTACACGTACAGCTCCAGCAGTGTTGATGTGGCATTAACTTCAGTATGGTGGCTTGTTTTAAATGAAAAGAACAATCATGCTCTCAACACCTCTTTATGAAAGATGCTTCCTTTTCTCCCCATAAGTATCTGCCTATGCATTGTAATTCCGATCATAAATAGGTATTGCAAAGATAGCCAAGTAGCTACTTTCTATGTCTGTATACTACACCATAATGTGCATGCAACATGCTTTACAAAAAACCTTTTGAGAAGTTTTTAAAACAATGTGTTTGTACTGTTTTTGTATCCCTCCACTGAAAAGGCAGACAGAAGACAGTGCTTAGTAATATAAATACTTAGTAGAAAATAATATGGAAATAATCAGAATGAGTTCTATGAAGTGGAAATCACCAAAAATTTCTCTTAATAACTTTGAGAGCACCCTCTCCAGGAAACTGACAGTTGTTTCACCACCAAGGCTATGTGGTTCCAGGGCTATCTATGCAGCTAATTTCTTCTAGTAGCTAATGCTACTCTCACACTCATGCACCATCCCCCAACCTCTAAATCTTCTTTCTAAAGTGAGCACCAAGAAAGAAGAGTGTTCCTCCTTGAGGTTTAGAGGTGGGGAGCTTGATGGCGGAAATGTGACTTTCTAATGCTGATAAAAATTATTGCAAACTGCAAAACCTATATTTTATTTTGTGTTGGATTATAACATTATTAGTAATAAATAATGTTAAATAGGGATGTCATTGGCAATTCCACCCCCTTTACATCTGCCACTACTGCTCCATTTGTAGCACAACATCTTTCAGCAGAGTATTGGCAAAGTTCTCTCTATATAGCCTCTATTCAAGGTGAAATATTGCATGGGAATATAGCTCTGTACTACTAGTTGAAAGTAATGCTGATTTGGAACAGGGACATCATTTCAGATTCTGGTAGAGGGAGCAGACCTGTGCATGCCATGGTGTGGGCAGGGGGGTAGACTAAGGAGAAGGCTTCAGCAGTGTTACTGTGCATGCTCAGTAGAAGTCAAGCACCAAAAGGGAATAGGGTTTCCAGATGGCTTCAACAAAAATACTGGACACACTTGACATTACATCACAATCTACATTACATCTTATTTAGAAAATACTGGACATTTATATTTTCTCAATTTGTTTCCTGAAGAGAAATCTGAAATACTGGACTGTCCAGTTTAAAACCAAACACCTAACAACCCTAAATGGGAAGGAAAAGAATCAATTTCATCTGCCCTTCCACTCCATCATATCTGTCCAGGGGCTAACAACGCACTGGAAAACTCTTTTCCTTTTCCCTTTCCCTTTCCCTTTCTTTTCTTTTCTTTTTTTTGGCAGACAACTTAGCAGTTAGCTGACAGGAGCACAGTATCTAATTCCTATATAAAAGAAATAAAATTAAATAAATATTAGAGCCACTCAGCTCTAACACTAACATATTCTGGCCTCTTTTGGCAAGTCACTTAAAGGACACTGGTTAGCCTTAAAATTTTAATGTATATTCTTACTTTGTAGAGAGAGATCCTGTCAGGACTCGTGGGCTTTATCTCAGCCTTTGGAAAGGGAATTGGGTCTAGTGGATTACAGCAAGGGGGCAGATACATTTTAGCCATATATAAGAAAATTAGAATGGCCATATTGTGTCAAACTAATGGTCCTTCAGCCCTGTAGCCTGTCTTCCAACAGTGGCCAATGCCAGGTGCTTCAGAAACCATAAACAGAAAAGGCTCATTGCCATTTATGGTGATCAACAATTCCCTGTTGCCCATTCCCAGTTTTTGGTAAACAGAAGGTTGGGGCACCATTCCTGCCCATTCTGGCTAGTAGACATTGATGGACCTATCCTCCTTGAACTTCTTTTGTTCTTACTGGAACCCTGTTATGGTTTGAGTCTTTCCATCATCTCCTGGCAAAGAGTTCCATAAGTTGATCGTGAAAATTAACTTTATTTGTTTGTTTAAAATCTGCCTATAAATGTAATTGGGTAAGCTTCTTGTGTTATGTTAGTGAAGGAGTAAATAACATTTCCTTATTCTGTTTTTTCACACAATTCATGATTTTCTAGACATGTAACCAAAGTCCCAGTCTTATTAATCTCTTCTCATATGGAGCTGTTCCTTACTCCTGTAGTTTTTGTTGCCTTTTCCAAATACAACATATCTTTTTTTAGGTGGGGTGACCAGATCTTCACACAGTATTTAAGATGTGGGTATGCATTTACTCTGTAGAGACAATGTTGTATTTTATCTTATTATCTTTTCCTTCCCTAATGATTCCAAATATTCTGTTTGCTGTTTGTTTTTTTGACTGACACTGCACACTGAACAGATGTTTTCAGGGAACTATCCACAATAATTCCAAGATCTCTTGAGTGGTAACAGCTATTTTGTATCCATAGTTAATATTATATTTTAGCATGTTCATTACATTGCACTTATCAACACTAAATTTCATCTGCCTTTGTGCTGTCCAATCACCCTGTTTTGTGAAATCCCATTGTAACTCTTTGCAGTAATCTTTGGATTAGCCCTGGTTCACCCCTTTTTTCAAGAATATTTACATGTTTAATACAGTAATCCAAATGCAAATTCGAGCAGCACAACACTCATTCCTACTCTTTTTCCCCTCTCTGTAATTTGTGGAATATCCAGCAATGTTTTTATAATGATCTAATGATCCTTCAATTAGTTGAATGCCTAGCCTTTTGTTCTTAATCACTTGCTTCTCTTTCTTTATAACAAACTCCTTGCTCCAAAGACATAGCTGCAAGTGAACTCAAACTCTGTTGTGTCTGAGAACTGCCTCTGGAGTCGGGGCATGCAGCTTTAAGCAGGCCTCAAATATGAAATTCAGGGGTTCCAACCTCAGGAGGAGAGGCTATTGCTTCCCTTCCCCCAGCCTCCATAAAAGGCACCCCTGTTTTGGAGTAGTTTTCAGCATATTAACAGTGAGATTAGACTTGCATTGGCACAACGGTGTGCCAATCTACTTGAATCCATTTGCAAGTTGAGGCCCATATTTTCCAGCACAAATTATAATAGCATTTAAATGACACTTTGGGTATGTTTAAACTACACTCCTCTTTCATAAGAGGAATGTAAATTAGACAGATCGAAATTGCATGTGGAGCCCAGATTTGAATTTCCCATGCTTCATTTGCATAATGGTGGCCACACGTTCTTTCGAAAAAGGACTTTTCAAAAGTAAAACCAAGGTCTAGATGGGGTTCTTTCAGGGAAAAAAAAAACTCTGAGGATTACAGGATCTTTCGAAAAAGCGTGGGTTTTTTTTTCCCCCAAAGAATCCTGTCTGGACTGAGGTTTTACTTTGGAAAAGTCCTTTTTCGAAAGAATGTGTGGCTGCTATTATGCAAATTAATTGTTGGAAATTCAAATACCGGCTTCATTTTAAATTTTGATCTGTCTAAGGTTATGTCTACACTACACTCTTCTGTCGGAAGAAGGATGTAAATGAAGCACTTCAAAAGTGCAAATGAAGTGGGGATTTAAATATCCCATGCTTCATTTGCACAATCATGTCATGGTGCTGTTTCGAACAAGCACCATGTCGAAAGTGAAACCACAGTTTAGATGCATTTTTTCGACAACGAGGTGATTTTTCGACAGATCTTGTACTCCTCATTAGACACAGCCTAATTTACATCCCTCTTTCAAAAGAGGGATATAGTCTAGACATGACCTTTATGTAAAACTTTTTATGTTTCCAATCTTAAAATCCATTTTAGTTAGGATTTTGTTTGTGGGTTTTGTTGCTAAGATAACTTATAATAGCTAACTGTAAGCAGTGTCGTAACTATGTTGGTCCAAGCATATTAGTGACATAATGTGGGTAATATATTTTATTGCACCAAATTCTGTTGCTGAGACAGACTAGCTTTTAAGCTACCCACAGCTTTTTTCAGTCTGGGAAATATACTACCAGAGTTACACCTTATAGTTTGCTGTGACACTCAAAGCATCTTTCCCAGAACTGAAAAAGAGCTGTGTGGCTTGAAAGCTTCTTTCTCACCAATAGAAGCTGGTCCAATAAAAGATATTACATCACCCACATAAATTGGTTGTAATTCTGGTACTGTTTTAGTTAATCCATCTGTTCTGTTTGCAATTGTTACAACTGGTTGTAAAATCTTTATTGGTAATGAACTGCATTCAGATATATATATATCTTTGCCCTCTTCCCTAACAGGCAAGCTAATGAAGAGTATCAAGTACTGGCCAACTCATGGCGCTACTCATCTGCTTTCTCTAATAAATTATTCTTTACTATAGTGGATTATGATGAAGGGGCAGATGTTTTTCAACAGGTAAAAATATTGAATGATGTTTTTTAAAAAAAAAAATTGGCTAGTATAGATCATATATTTTCAATATTATGATTTTTTTTTTTTTTGGTAATAGAATGAAGAACAACAGTGGGGAAATAAGTCTTAAATATTGTGGCTTGTCAGAGGGATTTCTGTTATGCACGCTTGATAGTTGGCAACAGAAGATAAACATACATAATGGCCAATTTTTCTATATGTCAAAAGTTGTTTACCATATGATTTCAGTTGTATCAAGTTTAAATGAAATGTATCATGCCAATGTTAAAATATGAGTGTTTGCTTCTATTGGACACTGTAAAACAAACTGACTACAAAAAAGATTTCTGGAAGTCAAGTGCAGTGAAAACCACATTTATAGTTAAACTTTCCCAAAGGTTATCTTGACATAAAGAAGTACGTACATGAAGATTTAATTAAAAGTTTAATTCCCTTTTTGTATGGATTGTAGAATAATCAGTCTTGAAACTCTTTGGAAAAAATGGGAATTGTTGTTGTAAATAGCTATGGTTGCTTTGTACTGTGGAAAACCAATTTTAGCATATAAGATAGCCTCACAAATTCACTTTGGCTTGGATAGTCAAGTTCAACTTGAATTGTCATTCTAGAAAGCATAATATTTTCATCTCTTTGAAACTTAACCCCTTGTTTGGCACTAAAAGAAAAAAATAAAGCAAGAAGCAGCAGAAGTTAAAACATTTTTACTGAATTGTGAGTTATTAAAGTATGAAGCAAAAAGCAGACCCACAGTGTATAAGCAATACAAAGTAAAACTTTGGATCGTTTTCCAACAAGACTGTTAGAGTACATTGTACAGAAATAAAATGTCTCTCCAAATTTTGATTTTTATTTTCAGTTCAAATATCAATTTTTGCACACACTAGATATGTTTGGCCCAGTACATTGCTGGTGTAAAGTAACACAACTCCATTTATTTCAGACTTTCATTTGCATGTGATCATATCATGTTTTGGATATGTGTGTTGATGCTTAAAAGAAGCACACAGGATCTTTTTCAGGGGGATAAGGCAACACGCCGCATTTATTGATAATATAACAAAGTAGCATATGCACATGCACACGCCCTGCTAATGGAATAGTTACCAGTCTGTTGCTCCGCCCAACCTATTAGCCAGATAGGTCGAGTATGAGTGGAGGAAGCCAGGTTCTTGTCAGTCCGGGCTGATGCTTCATGGTCTTAGCAGGATGGGAACACAAGAACCATACAAGACACCCCATGTAAGTCTAAGCATTTTGCCTTGTCAGGCCTTAATCAGTCATTCAGCATCACAATCAATCTTTGTGCGAAGGTGATATATGCTTATCGGGAAGTTCTAACGGTTATTTGATATCCGTATGCTGACAACCCTTTGGGGTTGTTGTCTTCCAGAGAAAGTTGTTATTGGTTCCCAATCAAGGGGTGCTTGCCACTAACTTTAGGGTTCGTCTATCTGCCTCGATCCAGTTTGCGTCTTCAGTGTGCTTTTACTTAGTTCATAATAATTTGATGTTTCTGAGTCTCCAGCCCCTCCTTTGATAATCTGGGGATGCAGTGGCCTTCACACTTATCTCTCCAAAAACATTCTTTCTCTCATTCACACAAACAACACATTTACACAATTGCAGCATGGGACAGAAGAGGGTACTTATAATCACCTGAACAAAGTGACAAAGTCTTTCAACATTTAACTTCTTTCTATCTATTACAAGGCCTTGCCTACTATTAACAACACTATGTATTACAATATTCCATCCCTTCGCTTTAACATGAGAACATGCTAACATCAAACAACTAGAGTTGAGTTAACCAAGCTTCCTGGCCTGTCTGAGGCCTACATCTTGTGTTTAAGTTTAATCCAAACTTTTCGCTATAACATACATTCATTATAACTACCTAACTTATTGCTTACAAAATTACAAATCTACTTCTGTGAAAATAAAAGGAACTCATAAATGACCATATTATCATGTAGGCTTTTGAATAAATATTTATCAGAATTTACGTAGACAAATGTAACAAGACAGTGGACATCTGAGCTAATTACAAAAACACAGGAAATTTAATTCTTGATTGCAATACTAGTAGGTAAGCTGTTGACGTAAAAGCGTGTCAGGTGATTTGAGTTCACCTTTCACTCTTTTTATATAGAAATGGGAAACCATTTCTAGGTCTGGTGACACTAGGGTGTCAGCTGTGTTTTTAAACATGTATCTGACAGAAGATATCTATCTTAGTATCCCACTAAATTAGGTTGTTTTAATATATTCTTTTTAACACAATTTATAAAAAAAAATATATATTGTTCACCAAAGGAGGGAGCATATTGTATTCAGAAGAAAATTATTTTTAGGATCTAGTTTATTTTTCATAAATTGAACCGTGTACTTGATTTTTAACTAAAGCATTTATGTAATTAAATTACCATTTTGCAGAAAAATTAATGTTAACAAAGCAGATAAATAAAATGACACCCCCCTTGTATCATTAGACAAAACAATTTTTTTCATATTTCATCATTTTGATATTTTTCCAATGATAATTTTATATTAAATTCAATTATTGTGAGAGATTTCATGTAGTAAAATATATTTCCCTGTCCCGGCCCCCATGTTCAAATTAGCAATGCAAATTGCATTTGTTCATCTTGGTGAGGAATAATTTATTTTTTCAATTAATGTCCGGCCTGTCAGTATTTTCTGTTCTTCTTTGGGTGATGTCCCTGCGGGTGCTCCACTGTTGGTGACCAGGTGGTCCCCAGAGCCGCAGTTCGGAGCTTTTCTTAGCAGTTGACAGTTAGACTGCTCATGCGCAGGAGGCATCTCACGCCACTGACAGTTTGGTGCCTCATGCGGCAGCCTGACTCCCTCTCCCCCTTTCAGTTCCTCTTCACCCACCCTCGGTTGTGGACAGAGCTCTAACCTCTCTCTCCTCGGGCATTTTGTCTCTTCTCACATACTTGTTACTTAATTGCTTTTCATTCTGGGCTATTGCCCTGCATTGACTACTAGTTACAATTTCAGAGAACAAACCGCAAAGAGAAAGAACAGGCTGTCCTAGCCTAGGTCCTGACAGACTGCCGCAGCGGCAGCAGCTTTAATTTCTTTCAGACTCTGCTTCGCTCTTTTGGCTGGGACTCATAAAAAAAAAAATCAGTGAGTGAAAGGTGAATAAGGCAGCCTTAGATTCAGTATCACTCGGCAGGCTAACCCCTATGGCCTTGAAGAAATGTTTAAAATGTAACGAGACGCGTGTCAACCTCTGACAGGCATGAGGCATGTATAAAGTAGTTGGGGAAGCCCATGCCCCCCAAAATGAGACAATTGCAAGAGCCTCATGGCCAGAGCCAGAAAGGACTGTGAAATGTGGCTCCAAATTATTTTATTTGAAAGGACACTGCAACCATCAGATGAGCCCAAACCACTGGCAAAGCATGGAGACCTGAAACACAGGTCTGTGTCTCCACTGCCCCATAAACAGAGCAAGGCAACAGCCTCTCCATCCAGATCACTGTCCGCAAGCCGTCCCCCAGGCTAACCACTGGGGATGCCTTAAACACATCGAAGAAGCCTGCCAACACAGCTGCAACCCATACTAGCTCGGAGCCAGCATGCATATCAACGGCACTGCTTGGGCTGTGCAGACAGATCACGGCACCACTGCAACCGGCACCACAGCATTCGGGGCTGCGGAGAAGCACAGAACCGCCTGCCAAGCAGCCCTGAAAATCTTTGGCACTGCTCCTCCTAAACCACCACCTGCAGAGACGCCCTCCCCTCCGAAAGCTTTAACACAGACGTGGCAGCATAAGAGCACAGCGCAGACTGAAGCCAATTTCACCTTAACAGCTGAAACCTACAGAAGTCAGCTGAGCTCATTCCTTCCTCCCAACAGGGGGTCCCCCACAGCTAGCTGACTTTCCAGATTCACCCTCACATGGCACTAGATCCCTGCTGACAGAGGAATGTTGCAGTTACTGAATATGATCAGAGGAGTGTTTTCTCCTCTTAACTTTCATCCCCAACTACATCTTGTCAATTTCAGCAGTACTACGAAAGACCTCATTTTTCTCATTGGTATTCAGCATGACAGTATCCTCCCTCCTTATTACCATCCCAGGTGGGCACCGTAAGACTATTGGGAGCCTGCAGACACTGTCCAATTGTCTCACCAAGGAGACTCCCACCAGCTTCTCGATCTCTCTCACTTCCATTGGACTCAGAAGAAGATGAGGAGGGTCAAATTCCTGATGGGGAGAGTGTCACACATAACCAGCAGACACATAACCAGCCTGTCTTCGGCAACAGGGGGTCATCATCTTTCTGTGTCTCAACAATTTCTTCATAAAGGGTCAATCACGAGCAGAGACATACAGGATGGTCTCCAAGACCAGACACCTATTGGATTACCTCGGATTCATCATAAGCGAACAGAAGTCAACTTGCAAACCAACTCGACATCTAATTCATCGGAGCTTACCTCGATTCTATATCAGGCCAGTCATACTTACCAAACCAATGATTCAATGTATTCCAGGGCTTAGAGACTACTCTAGCCATGAATCCATCATCTACCATGCATGCCTGCCTCCACATGGCAGTTATTAAGTATGTTGTTCAGTATGTGCATCTCCATTTCCATGCTATGCAGCACCAGCTGATTTCCGTATACAAGCCTTCCCGACATTCTCTTGGGAAGCAAGTCACCATCCCGGCATAGATACTAGGCTCTCTCAAGTGGTGGACTTCACACCATAACCTCCTCGCAGGAGTTTCCTTCCTGCAGGCCGAGCCATCAGTACAGATGACCACAGATGCTTCACAAATAGGATGAGGAGTACACATGCAACAAAACACAGTACAGGGAAGTGGACACTGCACAAAGCTATGTTACACATCAAACTTCTCGAACCTTACAAACTGCACTATATGGATCCCAATGGATAACACAACCACCATGTTCTACATAAACAGGCGGAGTGGCGCACACACTCACAGTCCCTTTGTGCAGAAGCCATTCGCCTCTGAAACTGGTGCATTGTCCTCAAGGTATCTTACCTACCTGGAGTCATCAATGTCATGGCAAATACTTTGAGTCACAGTTTTACCAAAGAGCATGAGTAGGAGCTACACCCCATGGTTATGCAATCTATTTTCCTCAGGTGGGGCTACCCAGTAATAGATCTTTTTGTAACTAGGGACAATTCTAAGTGTTGTCAGTTTTGTTCTCGGGCACGACTGGGTGAGGGATCCATGGGTGATGTGTTCCTAATTGTTTGGAACAAATCTCTATGCTACGCATTTTCCCCCAGTCCCACTGATCCCCAGGATCCTGCGCCAAATTTGATCAGACATGGCTCGAGTCATCTTAATAGCCCCATCATGGTCCAGACAGATTTGGTTCCCATACCTTCAGCACATGGCAGTCGAGTGGCACCACTGCCATCACAACATGACCTTCTGTTTCAAAATGAGGGCAAAATACGTCACCCTGCAACCACACACAATACACTTTCATGCTTTGCTTCTCTATGGTTTCAGGGTGCCAAATCCCTATGTTCAGAACAAGTGAGAACTGTCCTCCTTCATAGTAGGAAGCCATCCATTGGAAAGACTTACCTGCACAAATGGAAATGGTTCACATTGTGGTGCCAACAGACACAAGTTGAGTTCTGTGTGGCCCCTCTCCATCTGATCCTAGATATCTGCACTATTTGAAAAATGAAGGCCTATCCATTTCATCTATCAAGGTGCACTTAGCAGCAATCTCAATATTCCATGGGCTCATGGATGGGGCATCTGTGTTCGCCCACCTAATCACGAGAGTCCTCAAAGGCCTTCACAACCTCTATCCCCCTCGCAGAACCCGAGCACCTTCCCGGGAGATCAATCTAGTCCTACACGGCCTCATTAACCTCTCTCCCCCTTCGAACCTATGGCCACCTGTCCGCTTCTGCTCCTGACTTTGAAGGTGCTGTTTTTAGTGGCCATCACCTCTGCGAGGAGGGTTAGTGAGATGGGGCCCATGGGGTGGCCCATGATATACTATATTCACTGAGGACAAAGTTACTTTAAGGCCACGCCCATCGTTTGTGCTCAAGGTCAGAACCTCCTTCCATATCAATGAGCCCATAGTCCTACGTACGTTGTACCCAAAGTCTCACGCATCCCACAGAGACTGTATCCTTCACAACTTAGATGTTTGGCGGGCTCTAGCCTTTTGCAATGACAGAACGCAACAGTTCCATAAATCTCCACGTCTTCTTGTCCCTTGCAAATCACTCCAAGGGCGCTCCGATTTCAACACAGCACATTTCCATGTTTTTAGTAGCCTTTATATTACATAGAATTATAGAGCTGAAAGAGACCTCAGGAAGTCATCAAGTTCAGCCCCCTACCCAAGGCAGGACCAATCTCAACTAAATTAACCCAGCCAGGGCTTTCTCAAGCCGAGACTTAAAAATCTCTAGGGATGGAGATTCCCCAACACCTCCCTAGGTAACCTATTCCAGTACTTCACCACCCTCCTACTGAAATGGTTTTTCCTAATATCCAACTTAGACCTCCCCCACTGTAACTTGAGACCATTGCTCCTTGTTCTGCCATCTGTCAGTACTGTAAACAGCCTTTCTCCATCCTCTTTGGAAGCTCCCTTCAGGAAGTCGAAGGCTGCCATCAAATCCCCCCTCACTTTTCTCTTCTCAGACTAAATAAACCCAAATCCCTCAGCCTCTCCTCATAGGTCATGTGCTCCAGCCCCCTAATCATTTTGGTCACCCTCCGCTGGACCCTCTCCAATGCGTCCCCATCCTTTCTATAGTGTGGGGGGGGGGGGGCCAGAACTAGACACAATACTCCAGATGTGGCCTCACAAGAGCCGAATAAATGGGAATAATCACTGGCAATGCTGGCAATGCTCCTCCTAATGCAGCCTAATATGCCATTAGCCTCCTTGGCTACAAGGGCACACTGTTGACTCATATCCAGCTTCTCATCCACTGTAACCCCCAGGTTCTTTTCTGAAGAACTGCTGTTTAGCCAGTTGGTCCCCAGACTGTAACAGTTTTTTCCCCACCAAGGACTGTCCACCTCCTTCCCATACTGCATTGCCCTAGTGCATTAGTCTGGGAGCTGACTTTGTCCATGAAGACAGAGGGAAAGAAAGCATTGAGTACTTCAGCTTTTCCCACATCTGTCACTAGGTTACCTCCCTCATCCAGTAAGGGCCCCACACCCTCTCTGATCACCCTCTTATTGCTAACATGCCTGTAGAAACCTTTCTTGTTACCCTTCACCTCCCTAATCACATTGTTACTGTCTTTGGAATAAACACCTATCAGCGCCACCTAGTGCACATTCCACTCATGCCACTGCAACAGCAACCCCCTTCCTGAACAATGTTCCCCTGAACGACATATACCAGGTGGCCACATGGTCATCCGACCATTCGTTTGCCAGGCTTTATGCTATTATGACTCAAATAGTGGCTGATACAACAGTGGCTACCGTGGTATTATCTTCCGCTGATAAGCAGTAACTCCGCGTCCCACCATCCGCATGGAATACTGCTCTGTAGTCACCAACAGTGGAGTACCCATGGGGACATCACCCGAAGAAGAAAAGTAAGATATTCACTCTGTGTGGTAACAACTGTTTTTCGAGATATGTGTCTCTGTGAATGTGCCATGACCCTCCCTTCCTTCCCTCTACTTGAAGTTTTTTTTATTAACTCGGGTGTAGATGAGGAACTGAAGGGAGGAGGGGTGTCGGGCTGCCACACGAGGCACCAAACCATCAATGGCATGAGGCACCTCCTGTACATGCTCAATCCAATTGTCAACTGCTAAGAAAAGATCAGAATTACAGCTCTGGGGACCACCTGTAACCAACATTGGAGCACCCACAGAGACACACACCTGAAAGAACAGTCGCTACTGCACAGGGCGAGTAACTTCCTTTTTGTTTTCATATTGGCAATATTGGGACTACTCACTGTACGAATTTATATTTAAGACCATAGTGCTCTAAAGATTTACATATATACTTAGCTTTGCACACTAAGTGGTCACATAAGCTTAATGAATAGTGATAGAAATGTAGCCGTGTTAGTCTGGTGTAGCTGAAACAAAATACAGGACTATGTAGCACTTTAAAGACTAGCAAGATGGTTTATTAGGTGATGAGTTTTCGTGGGCCAGACCCACTTCCTTTGATCTGATAGTGGAAGAAAATAGTCACAGCCATAGGATACAATTAAAAAAAATGAACACACATGAAAAGGACAAATCACATTTCAGAACAGAAGGGGGATGCGGGGAGGGGGGGAGGAGAAGAAAGGAATGTGAATGCCTGTGAGTTAATGATATTAGAGGTGGGGAATGGTAGATGTCTGTGAGTTAATAGTATTAGAGGTGATAATTGGGGAAGCTGTCTTTGTAATGGGTAAGATAGCTGGGGTCTTTGTTCAGCCCCCTGCGGAGAGTGTCAAATTTTAGCATGAATGCCAGTTCAGAGGATTCCCTTTCAAGTGCAGATTTGAATGTCTTCTGAAGTAGGATGCAGGTGAGTAGGATTCAGGATCTCTACCAAGCATTTATAAACCTCAACTACCCACCCGAAGAAATAAAAAAGCAAATTGAAAGAGCCAAACGAATACCTAGAAACCAACTACTACAAGACAGACCCAAGAAAACCAACAATAGAACACCACTTGTCATCACCTACAGCTCCCAACTTAAACCTGTCCAACACATTATCAATAAATTACAGCCTATACTGGAACAGGACACTAAACTCCAAGAAGCTCTGGGAGACAGACCCATAGTCTCCTATAGACAACCACCTAACCTCAAGATGATTCTTACCAACAACCACAGGACATACCACACTAATACCAACCCTGGTACCTTCCCTTGCAACAAACCCCGTTGCCAGCTTTGTCCACATATTCAGAAGGGACTCAGACTAGAGCTCTTCTTGGTAGGAGTCCTCTCCTCTGGTCTAAAAGCTATGAGCAAAGTTGTCATGCTATTTTAGAAATAAGCCAGGATAAGGTGCCCAGTTCCAAAGAGGGGTCCTAACTTAAGAATCATCGGCAGAGATAGACATCTCTTTGCAGCCTGCATTTAGACACCTATCTCCTTCAGAGAGGCATCAGTATCAACCAATGGCTATCTTAAGCTGCTCCATGCCTTGTATGCTGGCTTTTGTAAATCTCAGTCTACAATGCCTATCTTTCCCCATTCCCCTAAAAGTTAGGTGCTGTCATGCTCAGTGTCAAAATGTCTTAACTCCTTTTGAGCATTCAGCCTAGAATGCCTAAGTGGACAAGATAATTATAGGCACAAGAATTCTTTGGGAGTGCAGTCAAAACAATGGTTGAAAGAGAAACAAGTAGTGTCTGGAGTTTCTAAAAGTCTTTGACCAATTCCATCATAAGAAGGAGGCTTCTGTTCTGAAATGTGATTTGTCCTTTTCATATGTGTTCATTTTTTTAAATTGTATCCTTTGGTATATATGGCTGTGACTATTTTCTTCCACTATTTGATCTGAGGAAGTGGGTCTGGCCCAAGAAAGCTCATCATCTAATAAACCATCTTGTTAGTCTTTAAAGTGCTACGTAATCCTGTATTTTGTATAAGCTTAATGGTATGTGATAGTTAAAGTATGTGCTTACATTTTTGCAAGATTGGGTTGTAAATATTAGTTGCAACTTTATGTATTATTAACAAGATATTTTAAAGATGATACTTTGCTAGTTATATAACAAATGGACATATTAGGTAAAAGGAACACTTACAATTGAAATGGTTTATGAAATGACTATGGTGTCTTAAAAAGCCTAAATGAAGAAACTGAAAGGAAAGTTCTTAGGACTTTTTCACTAATAGAAATGTATATTTAAATGTTTGAAAATCCACTAACATTTATTTAATATTGTTGTAACTTCTTCTTCTCCTTTTTTTTTTTTTTTTTTGGTAGCTCAATATGAACTCTGCTCCGACATTCATGCATTTTCCTCCAAAAGGTAAACCCAAGAGAGCTGACACTTTCGACCTGCAGAGGATAGGATTTGCAGCAGAGCAGCTAGCTAAATGGATAGCTGACAGAACAGATGTTCATGTAAGACATTTGACAATGTTAAGACCGTTTCAAACTTATCTTCTGTTTTATGATGGACTGACACCCAGAACTGTTTCCCCCCTCATGTCTGTTTATTAGAATCTTAGAAGATATGGGTTGGAGAAGATCTCAAGAGGTCATGTAGTCTAATCCTCTGCTGAAAGCAAAACCAATCCCTAATATAGGTTGTATCTCCCTTAACTGGGACTCCCTGGTCCAGCAACATCTGTGGTGGAGCATGGAGCACAGATATTCCTGGATCACAGAGTTCAGGAAGAGGGAGGTCTGGCAGCAGGACAGGAGCGCTGTAAGGGACACCAGCAACTCAGCCAGGAGCTGTGTGTGTGTGTGTGGGGGGGGGGGGGGCGGATGGTCGGCATGGCAGAGAGTTCTGGCCCCAGCGGAGCTCCCTAGCCCCAGTAGCTGGGGAGCTCTAGCCTAGCAGTGGCCGTGGAGCTCTGGGCCTAGTCAGGGAACTCTGATCTCAGCTGCAGCAAGGGAGCTCTGCTCTGGCTGCTCAGCTCTGGCCATGGTACTCCAGCCTTAGTAGTAGTGCGGCTGGCAAGAGCCCCCGGTGGGCTAAGGCAGCAGTGTGGGCAGGCTGGAACCCTAGCGTGGTGGCAGCACAGCCACAAGGGGAGGGACCTTCCTTGGTCTGGAAAATCCCCTTGTTCAGGACTAGTCAGGTCCCGAAGGTTCTGGACCAGCAAAGTACAACCTGCAAATCATATGAAAACTACAAAAATGGGTTAAAATAATTATAAAAAATTGAGCTGTGACTCTTGAGCACACTGTGGTAACTTAAGTAATTTTATAGTTACATTTTCATCCAGACTTATTCTAGCACAAAATGAGTGATGATATTGTGACAATTATTTGATAAAGGTGAGCATGTATTTGCAATGTTATTTACCAAAGTATGAAGTTTCAGAAGTATTTTATGCCAAAAATAATGACACAGGCATAGCAATCTGCAAATATGTTGAAGGAATTTATTTAATATAGTTGAATGTTACATTCAGTTGTCTCTTAAAAGTGAAGTGAAAAAAAACTCTGAAAAATAATAACTGCACTGCTTAAGTTTCCAGTTCAGTAACATGCAGAGGGACTATCTTCAGATTTTAAGATAGATTCAAAAACACAAAAAATCTTGTGCTAGCAGTATTGCTTATTGATACTTACGTCATAGTCATGCAGGAATACAAACAAGGTGCAGTGGATGTGGTCTTATTAGGCCACAGTTTTACTCACTTAAATCTGTGAATATTTGGCAGTAATTCATACAATGCAGGGAATTTTTTAAAAATCTTATTCACTTCCACCTGTTTGGAAAGACTGCCATCAGCGTTTCCCCTTCCTAGATTGGATCCAGACAATTACTGAGATCCCCACATCCCTCCACTCATGTGAGGGTTAAAGAGGAACTGGGAAAAGGAAAGGAGGAAGTTCTCCTTTGTCTGTCAGGTATTGACTTTCAATAGTGTGGTATTGTGTCATACCTGTACAAGAACATGATTAATATAGAAAATAGTGTGCACTCAGTAGCACATTGGATCACTATGCTGTGTGTTTGTGTGTGCATGTATATATGCGTGTGTGTAACATTATATCACTTCTGTTTGTCAGAAAATGGAAGAATAATTGATGCTTTTGTTTTCTTCTCCCATGCCCCTGCAGATTAGGGTATTCAGGCCTCCAAACTATTCAGGCACTATTGCACTGGCTCTTTTAGTGTCGCTTGTTGGTGGCTTACTGTACCTACGAAGAAATAACTTGGAGTTCATCTACAACAAGACTGGCTGGGCAATGGCAGCTTTGGTATGCTAATATTTAATATTGATTTTAAGTGTCAGTAATATTGTACAAGTTTTATATTTTTATGCAACAACAAAATACAAATATCACTTGCCAAGTAATTTAGGAAGTACTGCATTAACAAGTTTGTGAGAATGAGACTATATTGAACATAAACTTGAAAAATGAATAGCTGTGTTAAGTCTTATGGGTGGTAAATCAGGAGCATACAACTGAGAATTTTACTAATTTATTAGCCAATAATTAGCTCCAGTGTTGTTGGTGATTAAATATGCTGTTCAGCACCTGACCATGATGGTGACCATGATTGTGAAAGGTTAAAGAAGGTTAGAGAGGCTACAAAATCAGAAAATGGAAAGATAATGGGTGATTTCAGTCATCCTCATATTTACTCATCATATGTCACCTTAGGGCATGATACAGAGATGAATTTCTAGATACCATGAATGACTGCTTTTTGGAGATTCTAGTCTTGGAACCCAAAAGAGAGAGGCATTTAATGATGTAGTCCTAAGTGGGGTACAGGATCTAGTGCATGAGTTGTCTATTACTGAATTACTTGTTAACACTGACCATCATATAATTAAAGTTTGCATATTTGGAATGGGAAACCGCACAAAACCCTCCCCACTACAGTATCATTTAACTTCAATAAAAGAAATGAGACAAAAATGAGAATATTTGTTAGAAGGAAATTAAAAGAAGCAGTCACAAGGGGAAAATGGTGGCAAGCATCTTTGAGACAATTTAGAGGCCCAGCCTAAATCACAAAAAATAAGTAGGGGGACCAAAAGGATGTTGACATTGTTAAAAGAGCAGAGTAATGGAGGCTGTTGGAGGTGTAAAAAAAAAAGAAAAAAAAAGTCCTTTAAAATTTGGAAGTCAAATCATAATGCAAAAGATAGGAAGGAGTAAAGGCAAGAAGTTATGGACATGCTAAATGAATTACATGCATTCAGGCCTGCTGACAGAAGGGACAGACAAAGGGGGCAACTGCCCCAGGGCCTGGTGATTCAAAAAGCAGCTCCCAGCTGCTGCTGCTGCTACTGCAAAAGTGGCAGTGGCCGGAGCTCTGGGTTCTTTAAATTACCACTGGAGCATTGTGCAGGCACATTCTGGTTGGTTCTGAGGACTGCCAGGGGCATGTGGCATGGTGAGGTGCACTTCAGATGGCACTGCAGGCTACCTGCTCCAAGACCCTTTTCCCTTTTCCCCTCTCCCTCTGCCCCCTGCTTGCATAGACCTTCACTGTAGAGGATGATGGGGAGATACTTCTTTTGGGAGCAAGAAATCTAAAATACTGTCCTAAATTGTTATGACAAGAGATGAGCTTTTAGAATAAATTGATGTATTAAATGTAATAAGTCAGTGACCAGATGGAATTCACCCAAGAGTTCTGAATAAACTCAGATATGAAATTGCAGAACTACTTTCTCTAGACTCTGTACCACATGACTGGAAGATAGCCTATATAAAACTGTTTTTTTTTTTAGAAGAGCTCAAGGGAAGAGCCTGGCAATTACAGGCCAATGAGCCCAGGATAATTAGCAGAATCTACACTAAAGAACAGATACTTTAGTTAAGTTGTTGAGTAATAATCAACATAGTTTTTGTAAAAGGAAGTCATGCCTGATAGTCTATTGGTGGTCTTTGATGGAGTCAACAGGCATGGGGTACAAGGGTAATCTAGTTAAGATAATGTACTTGTATTTTCAGAAAGTCTTTGCAAGATTCCATGTCAAAGGCTCTTACAGAAAGCCTTTAAGTAGCCATAAGTCAAGAGGGAAGGTCCTCTCATGAATCGTTAACTGGTTAAAATATAGGAAACAAAGGATAGGACTAATTGGTGATTTTTCATAGTTGAGAAAAGGCAACAGTGGGGCCCAAGATACTGTTCAGCATATTCCCTAATGAGCTGAAAAGGGGGTTGAACAATCAAGTTTGCAATAATACCAAATTATTCAAAGAAATTAAATCCAAAGCAGAGAGCAAAGGGCTCTCACAAAACCAGGTGAAACTTTACTTTGTACTTATCTATGTAATGCATACTGGAAAAGTCCCAATTCTTTTAATTATAATAGAATATTGGATTCCATTTCTTGGGTGGTCATAGCTAATTTAGAATATGGAAAGACCAAGGATAGTTGTCTTAAAATTTCAGCTCAATACATTGCAGGAATAAAAAAGGCTGATAGCTTGCAATGCCATTATCTTAATCCATGGTGCTTTACAGTTGAATACTCTGTCCAGCTCTGGTTTCCACATCTCAAACAGGATATAGTAGAACAAGAAAAGTTTCAGAGAAGAGCAACAAAGATGCTCAAGGATCTGGAATTGCTTTCATATCAAGTGAGACAAAAAAGATTAAGAGATTTCTACTTAAAAAGTATGTCTCAGGGGTATATATGGTTGTGAATGATGTGAAAAATTGAATAGGAGAGTGTTACTTTCTCTTTCCCACTATAAAAGAACCTTATGTCACCCAATGAAATTGACAGAAGGCTTAATAGAAACAAGAGGAAATATTTTTTTCAAACAAAACACAACTAACTTGTGAAACACATTGTCATTGGGCATGATGGCCAAAAATATAATTGGGTTCAAAAAAGAACTGGATAGAATTATTGAGGATGGGTCCATCACTGTCTATTAGCCACGGTGGCCAGGGACAGAACCCTTGCTCTGCTGTCTTGAATGCTTCCTTGGGAAACTCTGGTGTGGACAGAATACTGGGAAGATGAACCATAGTTTGACACAGTTTGGAAGCTCATATGTTCTTAACTTGGGCTAGTCGAGATACATTTTAACCAAAAATATTGTAAGGGTTTCAAGTGGCCATTATTGCCATTCTATTGTAGCAACTTAAAGGAAATGGTGGTAACATTTAGTAGTTAATAAGTTAATGAATTAATTTATAATAACGCTAAGGAGAATTAAAAGTTTTTATAAATATATGAACGAGAAAGTGGTACAGAGAAAGAAGATAAATTAAAGAAATGAAGAAAGGAATAAAACGTTTACGAATAGCTGAATTACTCCTTACCTTAAAAATCTGTCTTCAACAAAAGAGTTGAAATGTAGATGCTTAGTTGAAATGTAGTTTTTGAGATAATACTCAAATGAGAACCATTGAGACGGTTTAGATTATTGAATTCTTGGACATCAAGGAAATAAATAAATGTTTTGTTTTACCTCTCACACTCTATTATAGTTTATTGATTTATAATTTCATGGGGCTATAGTAGGCTCAGCAGAAAATGTAGTCTCTGCCACAAATACTTCATAAGATCAATTTTACTTATGAGTAAAGTGAGTATGGAATATAATAAGATGGCAACTGCTCTTCCAAAAGTCTAATTTATTTTCTTGCCAAACCAATGGCACAAATATGAACAAGGTAAAAATGATAGACATATTTATTGCTTAATTTTCAGAGTCCCTCTGCATCAGCAGCTTCCATTAAATTAATCAAAAATGGGAGCTGAAGTTGTCCAGTGTGTCTGGAACATTAGACCACTAGAGGATCTTTATCCTTCATTGACACAGAACTGAAGTAGCAAGATGTTAAAGGAAATTTTCAGTGCAAATGCCTTCATCCAAGAAACATGAATATACAAAGACATCAATCCTTGAAATATGGTTACTGATAAGTAAATTCAAGTTTCCTTTTTTCAGGCTGATGTTTTTTGCTTCAACTGTGTAGAGAAAACCATAAATATGTATATACATAGATAATTTTTTTAAAGGAAAAAGTTATTGTAGATGTCCCCCTACCACAGATTTTAGCAAGGAAGTGGGTGAAATAACCAAAGAACTCTAGTTTTTAAATTGCCTGTTCCTCTTTGTGCTTAATCATAAAGAGAGATAATGGCTGACATGAGAAAAGAGTCTAGGGATAAAAGTTAATTGCAAAACTCCAACTGACTTCTCTTGGGGCCAGAATTTTGTCTGTGGCATTATAAGCTCCAGTCGCTTATTCTAACACCTCTTGCATCAAAGAAAATTTGGCTTGCTACATTCTGTATTAATTTTGTGTGTGTCATTTCCATATTGCCACTATTTTATTCAGATAATTATTTTAGGTTTGTTACTGAGGCATCCTGAATTTCTGAAGCATTTCAACCTAATTGATACTGCAGTCCTAATTAAATTCCACAAGGATTACTTAAATCATTGCCTACTGTAACCACACAAGAATAGTTCTGAGAGAGTAAATTCTAATTCACTCTGTGGCAGAAAGTTTTATAAGACAGCAATATTCAATAAATATTTTTCAGTTTAGAACTTGAACCATAAGGACGTGAAATATTTTGAATGGACTAAATGTTTTTGTGATACTAACAGATGAGGCATCAATGCATGCCAAAGCCCTCATGTCTCAAATGAACATGGACAAATATGTATCTGGAATCAGTCTTGCTAACCTTGGTGTTAGTGTTGATAAAGCAGGTATGACCGTTATAAAAATGTATTTTTATAAATGTGTCTAATCTTTCCTGGATAGCTGAGAGTTGCTGCATACATTAATCAAACCTCTGACATCTGTAGTCTACGTTGTAAGGTAATATTTAAGCATTTTATTGGAAGTCTCTATGATTGTGTAAATCACCAGACAGAAGAAAGATGTTAACTAAGGTAAAGAGTTGGTCTCCAAAAGAAGGAGTTGAGAAATTCATATACTGAATTTCATATATACTTTATGTGTATTCATTTATACTGTGTCTAACAACAGTCAATCTTGTGTGCAAAAATGATTGAGGTGACAGCTTTTTCTCCATTATCCAAACCAAATTACTTTGTATTGGTTTTGTTGTATGCTGTGTCTAAATATAATCTCCATCCTTTAATAGAATCTCCCAGAACTGATCCATACAGTTGCCTGGGTTCCCTTTGATTTCAGTAGACCTCCACATAGACACAAGTTTCTACATTAGCAGATCCTTTTGCAAGACTAGACCTTGGATTGCAAGTTCTTTAGGGCAGGCACAAGTTCTTGTCTATGT